CCACACACAAAAGTGCAGAAGAAAAAATTAAAGGTTGCCTGTCCATTGTTTGTTGAAATATTTTCCATGCTGTTGTGAATATACATCAACAGCAAAATGACCTTGTGGCAAATCTATGGAAATTATCTTGTCTAAAAAAAAAAAAAACAAGTTGATGGATAAAGATGTCAAAACACTGTCAAATCATCTACTCAACATCAGCTAGTAAAATAATAAAAATGAAGAAACAACTAATGTTACAAACTAAAAACAATATACTGGCATTAGATATGAGCAAGAATAATCATACTGTAATAATAAATATCTACAAAAATAAATAAAATATGTTTATAATATCTGTCCACCCTTCTATTCATATCAAAATAAATAAAGAGAGGTGTTCATGGTATAAATATATTCAAAATACCAATTGGTAAAAAAATAGAAAAAAGAAAGATAGTCCCCTCAGCCTTTTGCTAACTCAAACTTCCAAATCCTAAACAGATAATTCAATTAATTCTACAGGAACAACAGCATCACTACTAAACTATCTCACTCACTAAATGCTATGAATGTTATAACTATTATGCCCTTGGTTTTGGTGATAAATCTTAATGGTCTGATTTTGAAAAGGACAGTGTGTCTGCTTACATCAGTATCATAAATTATCAATATGATAATTGATACAGTTATTTGCAAATCATTTCTAAGTGAAAAAAAAAAAAATTAAAGCTTATACTATTCAGGAAAAACAAAGAAAAAAAAGCTGACATAATTTTGGCTAAGTGGTTTACATAAAAAAGAGAGAGAGAGAAAATCAGGTCAAATATTGCCACACATCCTTTAAGCATTCTTCCATAAATGAACTTTCCAATACGGCATGAAAATGTGATGTTGCTTGTCGTACTGCAACCTTGTCAACCAACAAGGTGTCAGTCACCTCACTGACAGCAGCCTGGTAACCCCAGAGTGTGCCACCACTCACCATCAAACACATCCGAAGGCCACATACAAGGACTTTTCAGGCTCTTCCGTGAGTGTGCAGAATGACGTCAGCAGGAGGATGAGAGAGGCATCAACAGTGAGTAAGAAATGAGTGGTGGTGGATGGTGGTGTGCTAGTGATAGATGCTGAGGGTGTACTAGGAAGTAGGACCATTCGTGTGGTTGGTCTGGTGGTGTGGCGTAGAGGTGTTGTGGTTCAGCTGCTGCAGCTGGTTGGTTCGCACGTCGAACACCTCCTGGATTGCATTTCGGAAGCAGAGGAAATTGTAGTCGATCAGACCTGTAGGTGGAGATTTGTCACATGATTAAAAGTTTGGGCCATTTCAACTCAGCGCCACCAGGGATGGTATGCATGTACATGCCATGCCCACAATGAGTAGACAAAGAGAGAGTAAAAAAAATACATATATACATAAATATGGCTCCAAAAGTTATAATTAGTGCAAAGATTAAAAATGCTAGAGAGACCCAAATAAATCACTCATATTTCGTTTTGCAAGGTATTTCAATCAAATTGTGGACCAAATAGTGTTTATAGTAAATCAAACATGAACATAATATAAACGTATGGTAAATCACTGTAGCATCAAAGGTAGACTAAAAACAACAATTGTTTAAAACAGCATTGTTTAGCCTATGTATCCTCATAGTTCAAACCCCAATGTGAAGGACTTACTACAGTACTTGTGTAGTAGCTATATCTAGGTTATTTGTGCCAAATTTCAAATGCAGAATTGTCTATATTGTTCAGTCTTAAAATATATATACATATGAATAATATACAACAGATTCTTACCTTGTCTGTCAAAGTTGTCCTCCCTAAGTATGCAAACTAGGGCTAAGTATCGGCTAACTTCTCGCAAATAGAGAATTGTCTGGTTATTCAGCTTGATGATACTGGAACTTTCCTTGTCGAACTGTACTTGCACTCCTTCATCTTTTCTGTGGAAACAATGTGTCCATTACATACAGAAAAGGCATTTAACTCTGTATCAACAATACTTTGAAAGAGAAAAAAGAAAGAAAGAAAAAAGAAACTGTGTCAGTGTATTTATTCACCTTAACAATTGTTTAGTGTTACATGAATTGTAACTGGCTCTATGCAAGTTATATGCGTAGCCAGAAGTTTTCAGTGTGTTAAGATGCCTGAGGGTATGTCTAAGGTGACATCACTCCCAGTGTACATGAGATAGGCCTCGCCCTCATTGCACCCAACACACTCGCAAATTGCCTCCTCCAAGAGCAAATAATTCTGTCTGCTTTTCCTAATTTTAATATAACACTGAAATATATTTGACTTTTTTGATATCTACATTTGTTCTTTCAGCCTTTTTATTTTCATACAAGATATTAGAGCTGACTTCTGAATCTTGGCTTTATTCTTGGCGATCCAAGATATCTTAAGGATATCTTTTTGTTTTGTTGTACTTGGAAATTTTATATATATATATATATATATATATATATATATATATATATATATATATATATATATATATATATATATATACTCTGGTATATGCTCTGTAAAATAAACCTTTTATTTTAATCATTTACTTTGAGTTTTACTCCAAGACATATATTGCTACAAGGAAAAATGAATATAAGATAAGATCCTTTTGAACAAACATTTTGAAATGAGAAACATTTTTTTGTTTTGTTTTGTTTTTTATATGACCCTTAAAATTAAGAAAATAACCTACTACAAACTGCAAAATGCACTCAACAACAGGCCATTAGCCAATTTACCATATTGGATTAATGGTCTTTAACCCAATGCTGACGGGCATGACGTGTATGTGTGTGCCATGCCCACTGTGAGTACTTGTTTGATTGTTTTTACACATAGATGATACAACTTGTACTAAGTCACCAATGAGCCAGTTATAAGTACTGCCTGTCTCCCCATTTACCCTTTTCTTTGATTTACGAAAATATTTTACGTTACCTAATTTTTCTGTTACTAAAGTTTATAACATTATAGAAATATTCATATTCATAGCACTAGTAAAAAATACATTTTTCCCACCAATTCAAATCAGGTAAGGTCATAAGGTCTACTAACTGACTCCTCTGTGGCTGAGCACTAGCAAAGCAAAAAACATAAAAAATGGGCACAGCATTTTTCCCGTTTTTTATTCATTTTCCCCAGCAGCATTGGGTTAAGCCATCATTATCAACATAAGGAAAGCCTTATGTTGATAGTGAAACTGGGCATCTCAAGAATTATCAAGAAGATATAAAGTAAACAATGCTGCATGATATTTAGGACTCTCACAAGCAGAATGAGGTCTTTACTTCTGGCTCTGTTCATTTCTATTATCTACATCTTAAAATAATTTGAGTTCTTTCTTTTAAAAAGTTTGCTTTATTTGAATAATTATTGTACATAGGTGCCCCTGACTTGACTGGGAGTTCTTCTGAGATTAATTCTTTATCATTTTGGCTGGAATATAAATACGTTTTGTTAAATCTGTATAATAATATCAGTATATGACTGATTCCCTTACACTGATCTGGGAGGAATGTAACTCTATTGTATAGTGAGAAATGCCAGTGATAAGGGGGTAAATGTAAATATGCAGTTCTATGAGAAGAAAGCTAGTAAACTGTGCTAAATTTACAGTACAGCAGATGCACCAAAAGCTATGGGTCCTGTTTACTAGTTGTCTTCACACATAGATGGCTGCACAAGTGCTTAGTCACCAAGGAGTCAATAACTAATCTACCTATCTCAAATATTTACCCTTTTCCCTGATTTCCAGAAAGATTCTTTTATTTACTTCACTGCTGTTAGTATTATCGGTATCACTATAATATTCCTAATTCCAATAATAATAATAATTTTGATATTAATAGTATTAGAAAAAAAAAAAATTCCTGAAAAATCAAGGAAAAGGGAATTCAGGTGAGGTCATGTAGGCCTACTAATTAGCTCCATGGTGGCTGAGTATTTGTGGAGCCATCGATGTGCACACAAAATTTTGAAAGTGAAAACTTGAGTAGGCAGTAATGAAGTAAATATTACTTTGTTCTTGAGATATGGACAATGGAAATTAATAATACCATGGACAATATAGGTCAAGACTTTTAAAGACACTTGACTCTTTAAAGATTCTGACAGAACACACTAATTATCAAACATGTAATTTTAGAGCTGGAGGCTGTATACTTTCCAAATGTAAATTAGGAATAATGTTCTAGCCGTGTTCTTGATTCTATCACTGTTTTTTTTTACATACAAATGATCTTCAAGAAAAAAAGAACATTGCTGTTTGTAGACAACAGCAAAAAATATGGCTCCAAATACACAAAAGTTCTAATTAGTGGAAAGATTAAAAAATGCAAAAGAGACCCAAATAAATCCCTCATATTTCTTTTTGCAAAGTATTTCAATTAAATTGTGGACCAAAGAGTGTTTAGTAATTTATAGTAAATTACACATGAACATAAAAATTAAACAACATATATAAATCCTGTAAATCACTGTAGTATCAAAGCTAGACTAAAAACAACAATACTCTCAATAATGAAAGCATTGTTTAGCCTATGTATCCTCATAGTTCAAACCCTAATGTGAAGGACTTGCTACAGTACTTGTGTAGTAGCTATATGTAGGTTATTTGTGCCAAATTTCAAATACAAAATTGCCTATATTGTTCAATCTTAAAAATTCACTACCTACTTCTATAAGATAATGTATCAGCTTAAGCAGTCAATTAAATGTATTTAAATATTTGGCTGTAAAAATAATTTTCTTTTCATATCATCAGAATATTTCCAAGTGGTTTGGTGGGTGTTGATATCAGACAGCATTTGTGCTTAACTTTTGAGTGACAGACAAATCTCACTATCTAAAATATTAGACAAAGTGAAAATCTAATTTTTCTGGTCTCTTGAGGTCTGGTGCAAAGATGGAGACTAACAACTACTGGCTTACTTCCCTCCCCCTTTGAGACTGGCAGCTGTCATGGCTAATAGCTGTGTTCTGTTCCAGCTGCACACCAAAGTAATTACCATGGGGGTTCAGTGATGAGTGTTACCTGCCTCCTAGCTGTGCATGTCTGCTGGACTCACTTTAACAGAGATGTGGTGAAGTTTGCCATTACTAACATTCCTTTGTCAGACCAAGAGGAACATTCTCTTGTAAAAACTCACTCTAGACTGGGCCACTAAATTTTTCACCTACCCTTGTTTTGGCCATGTACACATCATAGTATAGATTGGGACCCTAAATTTTTCACCTACCCTTGGTGTTTTGGACATGCATATCATAGTCCTTCATCCCATTTGAATTTCAAGCACTCAATGAAAAGCGTTCATTGTGACAATTGTAAGGTATAAATAAGAATTAAGACATCTATAAAGCAAGATGTATTTCAGCTACACCTTTGTCAAAAGACTTTAGATGACCTCAAATCAGTTACAACCTTGCTTCTTGACGTTATTACTTCTGTGTACTCATTTTTATACATGGTCCTATCTAGTCTAACTACTGTATCTTGGGCAATACAATCTCCTCAGAGGTCTTAGTATGCTTTGCTATTTTAACTTTATCCCTTGTTGAAGATGGGGCAATTATTAGGCATAGGACTTAATACTGTTTTTATGTGTACACTGTATTAATGTATGCACTGTGGGAGATAAATCTTTCCCCATACACCATTCCTTATCTATTCTTAACAAAGTTCTAATCCTAGTTGCACCTTAGTATCTATCAGGCTTGCAAGGATAGTACCCACACCTCCTTCCCATCTTGCATTAAGTCATTTCTTCCAAACACACCACATGTACACCATTAGGTGACCTACAGTATTTATCAGGTACTGTTGTCTGTAGGGTATGGGAATGCCTCCTCTGTATAAGTGTCAAGAGCAATTACACACCACTAACCTTGCCTGGACAGTTATTTTGTGGTGGTGTATTTATTCCACTGGCTTAAGACCATCTCACTTTACATAGACAAGTTTGATAAGTTTATATGCACACCATTATGTCACATTTCAGAAGATGAAATGTGACATACATATGGTGCTATTGTTACAACTCTGATGATCAGGGAATGCCTCCTCTTTGTAGAGATCAGGGCATTTATCTGCTACTCATCTCTAAACCATCATATTGTGTAAAGTATTGTATTTGTCTCTTTGATCTCAAGTCATTCTCTTTCTGGTGACATCAAAATGATACAAGAGATCATGATGCACATCGGCATACATAGCAATGCTTCATTATGATATATAGGTTAGATTAAGTTAGATTTAGCTTCTGACTGTACCTCCTCTTCATTGTCTAGAGTTGGGAATGTTATCTTTCCTTATGCAATGACTTATCTGAGGTACGGTGGTTATATTTCTTTCTGTGAGACCAAATGAGATGACAAGTACACTACTTTATCATGATATATGACCATATACCCCTGCCATGTTATTGCCAGACCTCTCTTTGTCACCTTTACTTGTAGGGGTCAGGTGACCTCCATATTATCTCATTAAGATTGTGTGACATAAGAAACCCTACACATCTCTTGCAGCTCCTGTTTTTATAATGAATAAGAGCAATGGAGTGTACACATCATCCCTTAAAGTGGGTTTATAACAATGCTCCTTTGCCCTGTACTTTGCCCTAGAACATAGGTCATTTACAAAAATAAAAAATCCTGGGCCACTACATATTCAATGTGGTATCGTTTATTGCCTGGGAGCCTGGTAATACCTTATTATCCCAACAATTTTGGGACTCCTCTCCTCTGATACTTCATTTCCAGAGGAACAAGCAGTGATGATCACACAAATCTAAAGTCTTCTGAGACCAGTGTTTAACATCCCTTTTCTTCTCCTTTGGACAGAGTTTAGTTATGTATAAATGTACTCTGGCCACTGATAAATTAATTCCTCTTCTACAGAACATCAGTCAGCTGCACACACAATTTCTTTATGCCATGAGATCAATGTCTCTTCCCAAAATATTATAGTTTCTTTTTTATATGTTTCCTTCTTTTTTCTTTTTTCTTACCTTGCAGAAGTACGTGATTATCACACCACACCATGGCATTGATAGAGTTATGACATCAACCTGTCTCCCTGGATTCTCTCCATGAGGCTGCCTTTATTTTGTGACTAGTCATAGGATTTTCCATTTAACCCAATGCTGCCACATCGTACAGCCGCACGGTACCTTTCGAGCGGTTTGTTTTCACGCCTATCGGCGTCACCCGTCAGGAAAGGGTTAAGATTCGGCAGGTCCCTCTTGTTCTCCTTTCCTTACACACTTTGGTCCTTCTTATTCTTCCTTGTAATTTGTTTCACATCCAGTTTTAAGCTCATGTCTTCTCAAATCTTACAAAGGAGTCATGATTTCAGCATGGTTTGTTAATGGCTCTCCCCTCACCCTATTCCCAGTCACAGCTCTGAGGGTCCATCAAGATTCAATCAAGGTGAATTCTACTGCACATTCCTCAGAGCAGTCAGATACCTAAAATTCCTACTCTTGCCTGTATCTAACAACTGGAGTTAAGCAAGTCATTGAGCTGATTGACCTAAGTCATGGTCGTACTGCTCATTAAGAGCTAAGATCATCTGACATTTGGATGGTCTCTGAGGTGGGCCACTGAGCCTTCTTCAGCTCATTTGTGAATGAGATATCTGACCGATGGAAAGTTATTTTTTTCTTTCTGAGAGGCCACTCTTCTTCATTTCAACACTGCTGGATCTGCTGTCTTCTGATTTGAGTTTCTAGTCACCCTTATCTTACAGAAGCAAAGCTGACATGGATGAGTGGTAAGACTTTGAGGTTTCTGGCACAGTTTTTCTTTTAGATTGTTGCTCCTGATTCTTGGATGTGCCATGCCTTGATTGTGCAAAATTATATGAGTTGATATCTACAATGGGTAATATTACCTGTCATTTTAGCCTTCACCAGTAACACACAAGAAGAGCATCCTCCTTTTGTAAAATCTATCACATAAAACTTGGTGTAATGCAGTTGTCTAGACATTAACTCATCATATGCAAAAGAAGTATGTAACTACTTGCACAAAAATTTTATTCAATTCATTCTTATATACATCACATGAGGACTTAAAAAATGTCAATTCTGCTATGCCCTAAATTGACCATGTGATTATCTGAGAAACAAAATAATACCTACAGTATTTTGAAAACCAATAACTATACATGTATAACTGCATTAGCCAACCAACTGATTAAAATCTTGGGCACCACTTATCAATGTCATTACTTCTAGCAATAATATCAGAAGGAAACCCAGCACTCTCTGACTCAATTTGTTAATTCATCCAACAATTAAATAATATAAAACTTATATCAAAGAATAAAGTCACCAAAAAACTCACCCATAGATGTCAGAGATATCAATAACAACATCTATCATTTCACAACACAATTCATAGCTCTGCATGTCTACTGGGGAAGAATCAGTGGCTATGTAGATTTTGGAGAGTACATCAAACAGGAAAGCTTTTTCTATTCCAGAATTCTGAAAGAGAAGGGAAATTGACTAATATATCTTATGCTGAATGAACAACCAAATCATTATCAACTTGTTCAAAAATAGTTATAAAAACTGAAATACATTTCACTTTAAAACATTTAATGTTAAAAGTTCTAGAAGTTGAATCTACTATTTAAAATAATCTAATCTGCAGAGATCATACACATGATAGCTCAGAATCTTTATTTATAATAATAACAAGGACAATAACTGTAATAATAACAAAGGTTGCTCTGTTAATGCTAGTATTAAAAATATAAACACTTCTTTCCTAAAAATTAAAGGAATCTGTTGAGATCAGGTAGGCCTTGTAACTGATGCCTCAGTGCCTTGGCCAGAGCTCATGAACCCATCTATGTGTAAAATGTGATTAGTCCAGGAAAACTTTTTATGAAAAATTCTTAATTGTTTTCTCCCTTTGAGATAATGGACCATCAACTCCTTTTGAATATAGTGTTAATAGATCCTGGGCTCTGTGGCATTACACAGTTGTAGGTCTTTACTATACCATTCCCTGAATACTGAATGCCAGACTTGACTTCTAGTAAAACCTCCTTTCCTGGTTAGCTACATTATAAATATGCTTCATCAAGCATTGCATGTCTAAGCTGGTTTCAATGTGTTTTTAAAAAAGGCCACACTGCATAATAATACTTGAAAGACTTCTAAGCTACTCTGGGTCTGGTTTCCCTTGTTCCCCAGACGCTGCACCTAGATATCTTATAATAAAATGCAGAATCCTAGAATAGCATTCATCAAAGTTCATGGAGAAGTCACAAACCTACAAGTTTTTAAAAGAAAGCAAAATTACTCACTGATATAAAGATGTTCAGGAGGTTCTCCAGTGTTGGTAACTGAGGGATCAGTTTCTGTACAACTTTACTAAAAGCTTCAAATATACTATGGTCATAAATGGAAGTTAAATAGAAGCTCAGGTGAATCTGTTCCATGCCTGTGGATGAAATCATAATATGAATAATGAAAAATAATACATGTATTTCTCTTACAAGAGTATCAATAGTCTTCTTTTAACATTACTCATGGAAAAGATGCTTAATCCAAAAAAGAATTAATGACAATTAATAATATTAATAACAATGACAACAATTAGAATAAAAAATAAACAAATATATAACAGAAGTAATTACAAAAGCATCATTACTATATACCACATTATTACTAATAATAACAACAGACTTATCATGACGATGACACATAACAATGAAAATAATAAAAGGCACCACAGTATATCAGAAGAGACAACAAAAACCTTGACAGCTCAACAACCTGCATCTATGAGATCGTCATTGGCTCTCTGATGGATGTCTCGCTGGGTCTCAATCTTAGTGTCATCCGAGAGGCCGTCAACCTTGTGAATGAACACCTCGAATCGTAGATGCGGATTCACTTTGTGTGCTCTTAGGACTGTCTGGTGTAACCGCTGTAGGGCTTCCATGTAATCATCCTGGAGGAAATAAAGAGCTTAGTAGATTTCCTTTGAATAGGTCATACTGGCCTGCGCTTAGGTTATAGCCCTTCTGATGCTCAAGAATTGGAAAAATTAAAAATCATGAAGAAGTATCTTCCTCTGTGAAGAGCAGAATTACTGCATCCTTGTTACTGCATATTATCAGTTTACTATTTTCTGCACAAACTCAAATCTTTTAATACTTTTAATCCTGATAAATAAACATTTCACAATCTATCTTCAAATTTGCTTGTCTAACATCCTACAAGAAATAATAACTAAAACCTAATTCTTTGAAGATAGTTTGTTAGCATAAATTCCCCATCTCTTGCAAAAAATAAAGTAACAACATAAATAATAATTTACAGTGTAGCAGCAAGAAGACCATTTTTTTCTATTCCATTCAGCAGTAAATATATTAAGATTATGAAATAATGTAGGAAAGTGATGTTATTACTACTACATGCTGAAGTTGCTAATTTATCATATAATTTAATTTCTTCTTAACATAAAGCCAGTATGAGGCTCAGCTCAAGTAGTGCTTAAGTTCAGCTTTTTTGTTTTTTTAAGATCTCTCATGATTCACTGGACACCTATTTAATGGGACTAAAAATGAGTAAATGTGTACTCCACAGTTAAAAGTAAATTTTTCACATGAAATTAATGATAAACATAATCACTGTTCACATTTCTAAAGGTTAAGTCATCAGTCAACAGACCATCCAATCCCATAGAGTGTCCTTCAAACTGATGCAGTGTTTACCATGGTACTTTTTATTTCAAAAGCTGCAATGACAGTATTTGTTCTTTGAAACTCAAGCCACTCTAGCCACTCAAAAATTCTAACAACTGTTTCCTATGAACTTCAACGATGAAATGCTCATTTATCAACTTTAAATTCATCAAACATAATGATAGAAAAGACATATCAGTCTCACACATCTTTTATATCAATCTTGAAATATAAAAAGAAATAAAATCATGTAGAAAAATATATACAAAGTTCAAACAACACAGTCCCTTGAGCATAGCACAACGACCCACTTACTTGTGCATCTATAACGAAGACGAGGGCTCCCTGTCCCCCAAAAATCTTCTCGGAATCGAAAGAAGGCTCAAAGAAATCTATCTGTCCGGGAAAGTCCAAGATCTTGAACTGCACGAAGGATGAATTGGATATGTTTTCCGACTCTATTTTGTTGGTCGATTCCAGGAACAGGGTCTCATTGGGGGTCATCTTGTGGAATACGACCTTCTGTATGGAGGACTTTCCACTCCTAAAAATATAGGGTTTTACGGAGATACTAGGAAAGGGTCTCAGAAAGAGAATTCCTCTCAGGCATATTTGTAGATTTAAAGTTAATAAAAGTAAAGGTGCATTACTTGTAAAATACATTATATATACCAACAAAAAAAAAACTCTGATTTGCATAAGGATACTTCTCCAACATTAATAATCAAAAATGCTTTTATTGTTTCTAATAACAAGTGATTATTTTCCTTTAGGATCCAAAATCCTCCAAGGAAAAAATGAGGATGAAGAACAGTATTATTACCCCTAATGATAATATAATAGAGTAAAGCGAGATTCTCCACAAAACAACAACAAAATAAATAAATAAGTAAAATAATAATAATAATAATAATAGTAATAATTATAATAATAATAATGATGATGACGTAGACATCACCTTTTTACCTTTTCCTTGAAACAGAAATATAATAATTATAACGTAAAAAATAACAATAACAGCATGGATATCAATAACATATCAATAAAAAACTGAAAACTGAAGGAAGGGAAAATCAGGTAAGGGCAGAGGCAAATGGACTCTTCAGTAACTGAACACTTGTGGAGCTATCTATGTTTAGATACATTTCACAAAACAATACTACAGTGAACATCACATTTTCCTGGCAGCTCTGGGTTAACAAAACCACCCTGGATTTATGTTTTATTCCCTGTATTTTTTTGTGAATGCTGTTACATACAGATGGCTCCACAAGTGCTCAGCTTTCAAGGAGTCTATCAGTAGTCCTAGTTGACCAATCCTGATTTAACCATTCCTTGAATTGGTGGGAAAATGTGATTTTTCTTTTAGATACAGTTGATATCCATACTGTTATTATTGTTATTGATGTTATGATTATCAAATTGTTATTAAAATCTTGATAACATTTAAGACAATTAAATAATGCCAAAGACCCTTTCCAAAAGTCGAGGAAAAGGGTAAACAGGTGAGATAGATAGGACTAATAACTGATTCCTTGGTGACTGAATACTTATAGAGCCATCTATGTGTAAATACAATAAATAAACTTGTATTGCAGTGGGCATAGCTTGTATTCTTGCCCTATGGGGCAACTGAGTTAATATTGATGACTCCTGTAAATACCATTTATATAGTCTAATTAAAATATTGTACATTATCTACAGGCCTTGTTTATTCTCCTCAAAAATAAAAACAAAACTAACCTCCGCAGACCCATAAGCAGGATCTTGGGCTTCTGGTCGGGCGAGAGGATGGTGGTGATATCCTGGTCGGGGTCGTCTGGCCCATACACAAAGTCCTTGGGGAAGGATCCCACCACGTAGCTGGAGCTGAACTCCGAGCGATAGTGGTCATCATCATCTTGCGTGTAGGATGCCTGTATGAAGAAAGTGTTGGTAGTGATTAGCAGGAATGACAGAGGTGTGAATTTATGGATTTAAATTTTTTATCTTTTTGTCGTTGTTGTTATCATTGATAATATTATCACCATTATTGTTACATTATTTGTATCATTATCACTGTTACTACTGTATCCACTTCTATCCTCAGCATTAAATTATTACTAGTATTACCATCTTCATTATCATCAATAACCCTCAGTTTACAACTAATGTTACTGCTGTAAATATTACCTTTACTACTACCATTAAATCACTATCAATGATTGCACAACATCTTTACTTCTGAGTACCTTATTATCCAAAGTTACCTTCTAACTGTCAAAGATAAGGTTACAATTCTCAATTCACTGGGTAGCCTCGTGAGAAATCTCCAAGGCTACCTAGGACTAGAATTATCAATTTGGAAAAAAAGTAAAACAGATTCATTAGGGCAACATAATAAAGTTTGTCAGCCCAACCCAACTCACATAGCTACTGTTAACACCTATGGGTATATATACATATACTATATGCATTTATACATACATATATATAATCAATCGCTAAAGAACTACAACAAATAACCTAAAAAAGAGGGGAAGGTAGCTGTCATTAGTATCACCGATTTATACATTCAATATAAACTATATCTTCAGCTACCATAAACTTGATTACTCCATGCAAGAAATTGGCTCACATTATAATATTTTTGAAGAAAAAGTATTAATCATTTCTATTTTATAACCATTTTGACTAAAGTTACTAAACAGATTTTCTTGCTTATTTAAGTATCATGGTGTCAGTTATTTGCTATCAACATCACCTTCAGTTTCAATAAACCATTTTTTTGGTAAACTTTTATTTCCACATTCCTGGACTACAAAAGCTATTACATAGTAGATCAGACTGTCAATGTATGGAGCATTTCAATCATAAAGTATCTCTCACTTGTCTACTTAGATAATCTCTATGACAGCAGTCTCCAATCCAATGCCTGTTGGCTAGATCTGGTTGCAATTATTAATTTTATCCAGGAAAACATGAGAATTGGTGTATTCCAACTAAATCAACCAAACACATCAATTACATCTCTTGTACTGTTTAGTTATTTGTTCTCCTTGGTATGGTACTATCATCTATAAACATTCAATACATCTTTTTTGGGAATATAGAACTTGCAGACATTCCTAGTGATTCATTGTCAAATAAGGATAGAAGTCAATCTCTATTTTGCCATAGGAGGGTAAGTGGTCTAGGTTTGGGCTTGATGCATGATACATCACAGATCACAGTAAGTTTCAGATTGATCTGCTATCTTAAGAAGCTACAGCTGCTATCCTCTGGACATTTAGCTACCTATATTTTTTTCTGAAATAATGTAAATATTAATCCTGAAACAATGTTTACTACTATTATTTCAATCTTTAGCTTTAAAAATGGATGTAGTCTATCCATGACCTGTAATCTTTATGCAGAACAAGCAAACATGGCCCTTGTCTATGAAGTACTGATTCACTGACCAAGTATGTATGACTCAAGTGATTGCCATGGCCTTTACACTTTGACACTCTGGCAAAGACCAACAAACCTCCACCATGTATATGATGTATATGATAAGATAAAGCTTTTAAGCCTCTCTAGCAATTTCTTGTTACATAAGACATAAATCCATGCTCTCTTTAGTTTGAATAGAATTCCTAAAAACTTGTTGGCTTTGGCCAGATTGCTGAAAGCACAGAGGCCACAGTGATTGCTCAAGTCACTTTGGGTGCATCGGAAAGTTTCAGCCAAGATGTGAAAGCAAAGAATGTCGAAAAGAGATTGATTTATCAAATTACTTTTACAGATTTATAAATAATTTTTACAAAATTACAATAATAATCCTACTATGAGCGCCCATTACACTTGCACCAATTATACATTTACTCCAATCACAGAGGCAAATCAGTAAAATAATCTTTTACATCCCTGATGAGAAGACTTACTGAATTCCTTTACAGACAAATGAGAAACTTTTAGAGCAAGGGCTGGCAAGCTCTAATAGTCATTCCATAGTGTTCCCCTCAAATACTGAATAACCCAAGTGTTGGTAAATGTATGTGAAGGTCTGTTGGCCTTTGCCAGAGTACCTATGATACAGAGGCCCTGACAATCACAGGACATATTTTCTCAAGATGATGCTGTGCTAGGTTCATGAATTGCACACTAAATATTCTTTACTATTTCCTGCCCTTTCAAAAATATCTTGGTTTTTAGTCTTAATATATATCTTACCTTACTGGTCATATCATTCCTAAACAAATGGTTGACCAAAAGGAAAGGTTTGCTATTCTGTACTGGTTGTTTATGGAAGCCAGACTGGCAAGTTTGGAGTTTTTTAAACA